GGGGTACCTCTCGGCACCGAGGAAAGGCTCATCTCGGGGACCGAGGGAGGTATGCCGACCGAGGTACATATCAGACCGAGGCCACGTGTCAGTTATAAAATATACTGAATGCATGATCCTATATGACGGTACCTCGGAGGCGAGGACATTCGTGCGCCGATGGTGCTTGATCTTAGCAACAGTGTTTTAGTAAAACCGATGACACGTGTCTTCATCATAGATCAGTTCAGAAAAGTCCCATCAAGTGGCATCAATCCTGCCTCATTTACTCCACGGCCTCGTGTTTATGGTTTTTAAGCATGTTGAGTTAAACGGGTAACGGATAAAAAATATATAAATTTATAGACAACCCGTTTAATAAATGAATGAAAAACCTCAATACGAATACGAAACGTTTTAAACGTTTAAACGGAAAACACGGCACGACTCGTTTAACTCGTTAATTTTAATTTATTATTATATTTTTTGTGACTATCACTAAATTTAAAAAAAAAAATTATGTGGCTATTATTAAAAATAATATATATATATATATATATTTTGTAGCTGCCATTAAAAAAAAATTGCCTATTTTTAAAAATAATTATTAATTTATTATTATATTAAGTTTATTTAAACGAGTGATAAACGGGTTGACATGACTCATCCAAATACAACCTATTTATTAAACGTGTTTGACGAGTCAACTCGTTTATCACCTAAACTAATTAAAATCTTACTCAAATCTGTTTAATTCTTGTCAATTAACAGTCCGTTTTAACCCTTATCGCCCCGCTATTACCCATCCGTAACGGCCTATTACTGTCGTGAAATAAAAAAGGACCCATATAGCGTCATGTAACCCATTTATTATCGTGAATCACTAATCTTCTCGTGCTTGTTTTGAGGGTTCGTGTTGCGTTGATGTGCCTATTTTACATGTCCATCTATGCAGCCATCTACCTACCTGTTGATTTATTTTTTTATTATTATGAACAAAAGCTAAAAGTGGGGTGCTGGTTACAGGTAAAGGAGGGACAAACTGAAGATGTGGTGGAAGTTGATGGCCACGACAATCCATTCTTGTGTTGTGGCAGTGAAGTGGTTGATGGGTCTGCTCGAATGCTTGTTACTGCAGTTGGGAAGAACAGATGGACCCAGAAAATTCATTTACAAGGGGAAATGATAAATCAGTCCCAACTACTAATCTCAGTGATTCGTAAATTTGGTCATGCAATGGCTTTCGTGATTCTGTTGGTTAAGTTGGCTCACTTGTTTTCCGGGAAAATAAGCGATGGCCAAGGAAAGAGGATAATTATTGGAGGGGGAGAACCTATCCCTATCGTTGATGTATTGAAAGCTTTAGTTGGAATTGTAGCTACTCCAGCCATGGTTGCAGCAACCTCAGCTCCAGAAGGTCTGTTGTTGGCTGTCAAGATTACTTTTGTTTATTCAATGAAGAGAATGTTGAATGATGATAACGTTGTATTGAGGAGACCTTCACTCTGTGATGCAATTGGATCGGTTACCACCATATGCACCAACATGACTGGCAGTCTGATCGACTACGACGAGGTATAATGTTAGTTTTTGTGCCATGCACCTCAAAAATATGCATGTGGGATTCTTTGAATTTGTGTCTAATTTCCTCTCGTATCAGTTAGATTAGAATATTTGCTGGGTAAACATCCGATTATCTGCATTCCATCACCGATCACTTTATTTGCTCCACTCCGTTCTTCTCATTGGGTTTTCGGCACCTTTTTGGAAAAACTTTATTAACACCTTTTTAGATAAACATTACTTTAAAGAAGCAATTCTATTTTCTAAATTTTATTAAAATTCAATTCGGGCTAAATAAAATTTATTTTTTACGTATTAAAAGTCGAGTTAATTAAAAAATATATTTTTGTACATATTAAAAATTGAGTTGATTAAAATTCTATTCAAGCCAATTAAAAATTCGAATCAAATTTTAATCAACTCATATTGAATTTTAATTGACCCAAATTTTGATACATAAAAAATTATAAATTTTAATATGTAAAAAATATATTTTAATCAACTTGAATCAAATTTTAAGAAATAAAAAATATAATTTTTAATCGACTCGAAGCAAATTTTAATCGTAGCTAATAGCTCAAGTAGAACTCAAATTGACTCGAATTTTAATACGTAAAAAAAAAATTAATATACTCAAATTTTAATATGTAAATTTTTTTTTAATTAACTTGAATTGAATTTTAATCGCCTAAAATTTTGATATGTAGAAAATAAATTTTATTTGAATTTTATATAGAAAGATTGTTTGAGGTTTATATATGCTTAATTTTGGTATTTTAAATAAATTTGTTTTTTTGTTAAAAAAAGTGATTTAACAATAGAAGTGTCAGTGATATTTAAATATAAATCAGAAGGAGTGTCAGTCATATTTTAAATAATAGACATATTGTCATTGAAGATTTAATACTGAGCTTTTATCCTAACCCAGGAGATTTTTTAAGTTTATACCCAAAAAATGGTGCTTTTCAAATTATTTTTTAAAATTATGTACTTTTAAAAATGTCATTTCAACCAATATTTAAAAAAAAATATTTTTTGATATAAAAAATTAGTTGGAAAGGCGTTTTTAAAAGTATCTGAATTTGAGAAATAATTTAAAAAGTACCGTCTTTTAGGTATAAGTTTGAAAAACCGCATGGTTAGGGTAAAACCTCCCCTCCTGCTCCAACAGAATCTTGCCCCTCTCATCCAACATATCCCATGACCTCCATTCTTCGTCTCTTTGTACAACCAACAGCACCAACTTGTCCTCTGTTCTAATTCCCCCGTATCTGTATTGTATCTGTATTATTGTGAAACAGGTGAAAGAGTTCTGCCTGGGTTTGAGGTCCGTTGAACAAATTACTACCAATTTGGCTGCGCCAGCTGTTATTGAATTGCTTCACCAAGGAATCGGTCTAAATGCAGGTTTGTTCCAATCTCCCCAAAATCCCATCGAAAAAGTAATTTCCGATTGGGCCAGTCAAAAAACCGGAATGAGCATAGAATCATTGAACAGAAATTGTACCATTCTTGAAATTAAACCCTTTAGCTCAATGGATAGACAAAGCGCGGTTTTGATAAGAAAGAATGGCGACAACAAGATTCATGCGCACCATAAAGGGGCTCCTGAGGTGATAATACCCTCATGCTCTCACTATTATGAAGCCGACGGAACTGTCAAACTCATTAACCAAGATGCACTGTTGTCGTTGGATCAAATACTTGAAGGCATGTCAAAGAATGGCCTCAGGTGCATTGCTTTCGCTCATAAAACAACATCGACACGAGATTGTTTTCCTGGTCGACAGTTGATCTTATTAGGCCTTGTTGGTCTAAAAAACTCGCTTAGAGATGGAGTTGAAGATGTTGTGAAAGATTGCCAACGTGCTGGAGTGAACATCAAGATCATCACAGGAAACAACATTCAAACTGCCAGAGCTATGGCCATGAAATGTGGTGTAGTTGGGGCGAATGAACAACCTGGAGAAGTAGTACAAAGATTGGAATTTCGGCAGTACATTCAAGAGGAGAGAATGGAAAAAGTTGTCAACATCTGTGTGATGGCAGAAGCCAGCCCTCAAGATAAATTGCTTATGGTGCAATGCTTGAAACAGAAGGGCCATGTTGTTGCAGTTATTGGGTGTGGGATTGGAGATGTGCAGGCATTGAGGGAAGCTGATGTAGGACTATGTCTTGGTACTAAAGGTGCCGATATAGCCTGGGCCTGCTCAGATATTGTCATCCAGGAAAAAAATCTGGCTTCTGTAATAAGCATTTTGAGTTGGGGAAGAGGCATTTTTGAGGGTGTGCAGATATACACTCAGTTCCTGCTCATTACCAGTTTTGTTGCTCTGGTGACCGACTTTGTGATGGCAATTTCAACAGGTGAAACCCCGAATATTGGTGCAGTGGCATTGTTATCAGCTGGTAAAGTCCCATATCCAGTTCTTCAAATAATGTGGGTGAAGCTGATGATGGATACATTGACTGCTCTGGCTGTGATTATGAAGCAGCCTGCTGAAGAGCTTATGAATCGACCACCTCGGGGAAGGAATGGACCTCTAATGACCAACATCATGCTGGGGAACATAATGGTTCAAGCTTTATATCAGATAGCCATCCTCCTAACCATACATTTGAAGGGAAAATCAATCTTCAATGTCGATCCGAATGCAAACGGTACATTTATCCTCAATACTTATGTTCTCTGCCAGATATTCACCATATTCAATGTTGAGAAGAATGTATTTCAGGATATAAGAAAGAAAAAACTGTTTTGGGGGATCATTGGGATAATCATTATTCTTCAAGTGCTGATGGTGGAAGTTCTGGACAGGTTTGCAGACACTGCAAGGCTCGATTGGGGTCGGTGGGGCACAAGTTTTGCACTTGCTGCTGTTTCTTGGCCAATAAGTTGGATTGTGACGTGCATATCTGAACTAGAAGCAGCCATTTTTAGCAGTTCCAATTGGCCAAAATCCGAGTATGGAGTCAAATGATTGTGATCTATGAAGCATGGATACTTTGCAATGGATTAGTTTAATTTTAATAATTTTTGAAGTGGGTTTTGTTTATTCATGATTTCCAATTGTATTTAGAGATAAATATGCGACCGACTTCGATTATAATTGAGTTTTTTGGTTTTTGAGTTCTTTCACTCCTCGGTTTACTCAATCTTCCCTTACTGGAATTGCTAATGTTACTTTAATCTACGTTATTGAATGCTTTAGTTTTTCCTCTTATATGGCAATCCAATCATATCTTGCTCTTTCTATCATGTGGTTTTCTTTGCCGAATTTATTGTATTTGTGCGTGCAAGATCCTGCACAATATAAAAACGAGAACAGATCTCTCCCTTGGCGAACTCGAGTGAGCCAGTTGAATGACCAACCACGCTGCTTGGAACAGCCTGCGAGGTCCGGTGGTAACCTGGAATGGCAACGGGAGACCCTGGGAGAGCGGAAGAACGATCCAGTAAGGCTGAAAGAGGTTCCTGGAACAAAGAAGAACAAGTCAGAAGGGCGCCGGAGTGTTTTTCGGAGTATCCCCTCGGACGATCTAGTCAGTCTTTGAGAAAGAGAGAGGAAGGAGAAAACACTGAGTGTGTATTGTAGTAAAGAGTTCTTTGTTGCATACCCGTCTTGCCTTTTGCAAGGAGTATTTATACCTCAAAAAGCTCATGATTGCTGTCAGTGTAGTCAGTAGGTGATCATTAGGTACAGGCAGTGTGCGCACTGATTCTGATGAAGAATGTCTTCTCTTCTTAACTACTCGGGGTCCCGAGCAATCAATGCTGTGTCATCGGGATGCCGACGGTACAATGTGCTCCTCTCAGGGAGGATGCAATAAATGCTCTGTATTAGGAGCATTTATTGCCTTTCATTTCTGAGCCTTACCACATTGAATATGGTCTTGTCAAGGGAATGGTGTAATTAATCGTTTGCTTTCCCAAGTCGCGTGTCAGCAACGGCATGCGGTTTCTCTGTCTTCGATGTGATATCATATGCCACGCGTCCATCCCCCATTGGCTGTGGCCCCTGCATTCCAGTACGTTCTGACACTAATTGTGTAAGACGAGGTCATGATGAATAGCCTAGACTAGCCTAGGCTAATGACCTGTACGTCAATAGCTTATCCTGGAGTAGAGGAGGCGTCCAGGACGGGGTACACCTCGGCACCGAGGAAAGGCTCATCTCGGAACCGAGGGAGGGATACCGACCGAGGTACCATATCAGACCGAGGCTACGTGTTGGTTGTAAAACGTACTGAATGCCATGATCCTATATGACGAGTACCTCGGGGGCGAGGACCTTTGTGCGCCGATGGTGCTTGATCTTAGCAACAGTGTTTTGGTAATACCGAGGACACGTGTCTTCATCATGGAGCATTTCAGAAAAGTCTCATCAACTGCCCCCCAGCCTTCGATCTTCTGACACCGAGGGCACGCGTCGTAAGGAGACGAAGGGTTTCCCAACAACCACAAATGCTTCATCATTGCCTCGAGCCGCTTTCCCCGGCTTAGGATGTCGTGTGCATTAAATGCGCCGTTTCGTTTTTCGCGCCCCATGATGAAACAACCACTATATAAATGGGGTTCCTCTTGCATTTTCTTGTTTCGCCATTCCGAACTTCCTCAAGAGAGCCTTTTCCTGAATCTTCGCCGGAGATCTCTTTCTTCTTCCATCGTCGACTGCCCATTCTTCCTTAAAGTCTTAAGGCCAGCAGACCCATCGTTGCTTCTGAACTTTCTGGAAGGAGTCGCTTTAAGGTTTTCCAGAAAAAACTCCGTTTTGACATTCGGGTGAGTTCCAGTATCTTCCTTCTTTTCTTCCTCCTATCCTTTTGTTTTCCGATGACTGGAGGTGTCTCCGGTTGATACATAGCGATTAACCCTCGGGAAACTTCCTCAGGGATTTTTAAGAACAAACACCCTCTATTTTCTCACTTTCTTAGAGATGCCTCGTCGTCGCCCTGCTCCCGAGAATCCTCAGGCTGGTTCTTCGGGGTCGGGGAAGTATAAAGTAAAGGGTGGTGAGCAGATTGATAGGTTTAAGGTCAAGTACGGCATTCCCCCGTGCGTAGACGTAGAGGATTATGACCCGGTGGTGCACTCTTCTACCCTCGGGGCCGAGGATGCTATGCCCTTTTATACCAAGGCCATAATAGAGGGAGGAATTAGGTTTCCTTTACCCCCTTTACTTCTTCAGTTCCTCTCTCACTTCCGCCTCTTCCCCGGGCAGTGTTGCCTTAATGTCTTCAGAATAATTATGGGGGTCTTAGAGCTCAATAGGCGCCTCGGGGTAAATATTGGGCTCAACGATCTCCTTTTTTGTTATTCCCTCCTGAGAGTCATGCCTCACCAACACTTCTACCTCAAAGCCAGGGACCCCTCCATGTACCTTGTAACTCATCTTCCCGACTCGGACAAGGGGTACAAGGACGATATTCTTATTTTCAAGGGATCTTGGCAGAGAGGTGTTGGTCCCGAGTATAACGGCTTGTTATGCCCTCTGGAATGGAGAACGACAAGTACGTCGGTTCCTTCGGGTTTATTATTTTGTTCTCCAGATTTCTCATGTTCATGACTACTTTTTTGTTTGTGCAGATATCCCTGCTCGGGAAACAGCTCCTCCCCCTCGGTCGCTGGTGAACTTTGCCGACCTAGTCACGGTTTGGAGATTTACTGGTGACAACGGGTTCGGCCGGGCTGCCCACATCCTGCTGAATTACACCCCCGGGTATAAGAAATTTTCACAGCTTCCTCAGCCTTTTGAGCCTTCGCGGTGGTCTGAACTCTTCGATCAGGCGGCGAGGCAAGAGGTCGAGGAAAACTTGGAAGAAGACCCTGATCGGGCTTCGGAGGCAGAAGTAGAGGGAGTAGTTGAAGAGCTCGGGGTCAGAGAGGACTTTGTTCCTTCGGACGCCGAGGTGGGGACTTCGGGAGGAGATTTGTGGCCGGACTTCCAAGTTCTACAATCTCTAGACTCCGAGGACGCCCTCGAGGTCGCGATGTCCAGCACGCCTCGTATTGACCTGGGGTTCCTGAGGCAGAGGCAAGCTCTTGCTGCCGGGAGGGGTCAAGGATCGACCGGCGGCGCCCCATCTGCAGGGACCAGTTCCACCCCATCCTCAAGAGTTCTCAGTCGGGGTCAAGTGCGTGACCGGAATCCTCAGGTAGAGGAGGAGAGAAGGGTCAAACATAGGCACGATGGCCTCGGCAGNGCCCCATCTGCAGGGACCAGTTCCACCCCATCCTCAAGAGTTCTCAGTCGGGGTCAAGTGCGTGACCAGAATCCTCAGGTAGAGGAGGAGAGAAGGGTCAAACATAGGCACGATGGCCTCGGCAGGGGATCCAGGGTACTTTCTGCTCAGCAGCAAAGCGGAGAGGCAGTGACTTACCCCCTGCTCCTCCGCAACAATAGCAATAGCAACAGCAACGACAACAGCAACAACAGCAACAACGGCAGCAGCAGACTCCCCCTTCCCCTCCGCCGACAGTGGAAGCCGCGGAGTGGAATCCCCGAGCCACCGATCACATGAACCGAGTGATCAGGGTCGATGACTCCATTTTGCTGGATCCTCATGTCGCCAATGCAGTGAGTGAGACACTGCATTTCGAGGCTGACATGGTGGCTCACAGGGGGCGATCAACGAACGTGTTGTTCCGCTCTATCATCCAGAATTCCCTGGTGGTAAGTTCATTTTTGCTTTGGTTTCTTCTCTCTCGCTTTCCATTTTTGTGATACGCCTTTTTCCCTCCTTTGCAGGCTACCCAACAGATCTCCATAATAGCTGCGCGGTACCATGGGTCTAGGATGGACCTCCAGCGGGCCCGAGAGCAGAAGGAAGAGGCGGAGGGGGCCCTCGCCCGAGCAATGGAGGACGTAGCTGCCAGGGATTCTACCCTGGCGGGGCAGGCTGCTCAAATCGAACAACTCCTCAAGGATGCCGAGTCGGCTAAGGTTGGCGCTGAAAAGCTAAGTGCTGCCCTTGCCGATGCTGAGGGGAGGATCACCGAGCAGACGCGGCGGCTTTCTGCCGCGGAGGAGAGGGCGGTTGGCTCAGAGGAAAGCTGTCTGGCTCTCACCCAGGAGCTGGACAGGATCAGAGCCGAGGCACTGAACAGGAAGTCGGAGGAGCAACTCCGGGAAGAGTTCGCCGATGACGTGCTCCCTGCTCTTGAGGAAAACAGCAAGGAGTTCTTCAAGAAAGGGTGGGACGAGGCGCTCCAGTCTGCTGGAATCCCGTCAGACTCCCCGCTCTTCCAGATGCACAAGTACGTGCCCTCGGCAGAGATGGAACGGGCCGAAGCAGAGATTGCTGCCGAGGATGAGATCCCAACGCCGGTGCAAGTCTCGGCGGATCTGCCCGAGGCAGTGATAGTGGACTTGTCCGAAGAGGCCCCGCCGGACCATGCCCCTGATCCTCATGTTGCTCAAGGTCTCTCTGTTGCCGAAGTACCTCTCCTTCTGCCTGCTCCAGAAGCTTCTCAACCTTTTTATGCTGACTCGCCCTCGGCTGATGTTGTGGAGATGCCCGGGGCCAGATGAAAGCCCCTTTTTCTTTTTGATTGTACTCTTTTTTCTTTTGTAGCCTTTGGGGACGCAAAACCCCTCTTCTTGAAATAAATCATGAGTACTTTTTCCTTTTTTGCATACAGTAGTGTTTTGTTTTTGTTTTTTTTTTTGGAACTATCTTCGGGGCTGCTCGCCCATTCAAGAGGCACGCTCTTGTGTTTGCTTCGGGGACAGGAGTCCTTGAACTCTGTCCCCAGGGCCTTGCCCTTCCAGGAGGCTTGCTCCTGTATATGTTTCGGGGACAGGAGCCCTTGAACTCTGTCCCCAGGGCCTTGCCCTTCCAGGAGGCTTGCTCCTGTATATGTTTCGGGGACAAGAGCCCTTGAACTCTGTCCCCAGGGCCTTGCCCTTCCAGGAGGATTGCTCCTGTATTTGCTTCGGGGACAGGAGCCCTTGAACTCTGTCCCAAGGGCCTTGCCCTT